ATATCTCTACTCATTGAACAACCCTCCTTACTACTGTACAATAACGGTAATTTTGACCCCGGCTCATATAGCGCAACGCATAATCAGAACAGGATTCAGGGCTCGCTCTTCCATGAACTTGTACATAACAAGGAGTACGAGGGGAAGTTCTTCCTAGGTCTTCGGGTTGTGACAATAACCCAGGAGTACTCCTAAACCCTAAACCCAAGTACCAGTGCAGTGGCCTTGAAGGGTTGGAGGGCGCAGAGAGAGAAGAAGGCTCAGTCGCAAGCTCCTTGCCCAAGACTTGTGAATATGACTTGTGAATATGCATGAGGGCCCTTGCAAAGAGATTCTACCCTCGTAGTTCCTCATGGTAACTTACAAGAATGTAAGTACAACTTCATAATCTAAGCTATCTTCTGCTCCAAGGCTTTCCTGCCTTTCTAGGTGGTAGATCGTGAAGATATCTGTACTTGTCGTTGGTGAAGCTTACCTGGACCCCAAAGTAGGTAAACTAATAGCCCAAAACCCCCCTTAAAACAGCCCAAGAGGCCATTATTCTACATACTTTGGGGGTCTGAACCCTAATAACATAGTAGTTTCCATTTTGTTTTCCATTATCCCAATATTACCCCTATATAAACCCATAGAATCCCTATATCAGGTAAGGTACGTAAAGGATTTGGGGATTCTCTGAAGGCTCCTTGGCCGAGTTGGCCTTTTGGTCCCTGTTCTTGCCCAAGGCAATGGTCGGCAGCCTTAGTGACAATCGGGAAAACGGCTGATAGCCTCATAAATCCCGAGGCCCCGATGGATCCTCTTCTTGTATACATTATCTGGACCCAAACTACCCGATTGGAGCAGGTTGCCATCAATAACAGAGTGACCCTGGCAGGCCTCTTTTGATTCCTAAGGAGAGAAGGTTCTGGTCTTGCGGCGAGCCAATCTCTTGTCAGAATACACGGACCCGAAATAAAGACATGAATCATGATGGCCTCCTCCTTTGTGGAAAGTCTCCCATGTGCATGATGCTTATTCCTGCCTCAGAAGCAAGAAAACTCTAAGCTTCTCGTCCCGTTGCTTCTACTCATCACTGTTGACCTCCAGTACCACCCTTGCTGCTGCTGGTACGTCAGTTCTTATTTCCTTAACAAGATCTCAGGAACTCGGAAAGACCGGCTGACATAGCCAAATCCAATCGGTAGTTCAGGTCGCCGAACCAGAAGCAGTGGTCAAACTGGCAGGATAGGTCCAAGTCCTGCTTTAGTTCTACGATTGCAATCATTTTGTCATCTCTGATCTCCTAGAAAATACTGGCGGCGCGGCGGAGATGAGGGTAATGTCGGATTTTTTCTGCATCCAAACTCAGTTCACAATATCCCCAAAGGCTTCTTGATCGTTGGTACCGTGATACAGCTTCCATGCCAAAGTGCAGGGGTTGGGCTTTATGCGAAGATGAAACGCCTGAAGTAATGAAACTCTGCAAGTGCAACTGTAATCCTTCTACGTCTGGAAGTTCCAGGCAATCCCACATGTCATTCCAGGATCTCTATGTAAACCAACGCTGTGATCCAGAGGCGGTTGAAACAGGAAGTAGCCTTGTCAGTACCCAAAGTGAGACTTGTAACAGCTGAAAACACATGCAAGGAAGCAGAACAACTCCAAGCAATACCTGATGCGTGGCAAACCCTACCCCGGGCCCTATGCTATCTGCACAGTCCTGCGCTATCCCCAAGGAGATTTACCCTACAACCCCAATATAACCCATTATAGTAGCCATTTTCTTATCCATCCCAATATAACCCCAATTCAATAAACCAAGCCCAAATTTTACGGAACCTACCCGCCCTTGTGAGTAACAGTCCTGATGGCAAACCGGCCATGTCTCCTGCAGTGGCATGCTGAGAGAAGCCAACTTGACTGGGGCCTTGGGCTGCTTGAAATTGAAAGATGTGTGCAAAGAATCTCATGGTCATTTGGTCAGGGATCTTGAGGGCTCCCACAAAAGCAGCGAAATTCCTGGATGGCCTTCGGTTGTCTAGCAAGCCGTAGACTCCGTTTGTAGCACTTCCCGACTCCTTCGTGATAGCATTCCTAGGAGCCCCACCAAATTCCCATCTACCGTACTAGGATCGTCATTTGCAAGGAACCCCAAACCCCACTTAATCTAAAGCTCGAAAAGCTTACCTCTGGCTAGAAAGGAATGAAGGCATGGATCCTTTGCAGTAGTCCCCAATTGTGTAGTAGCTTCCATTTTTTCGTTCCCTAGAAACCAGTGGTAAGCAACCTGCTAAACACCGGCTTGCATTTCATTTTCCATCTTCTTTTCCGTTTGATTCTACATCAGTTGGGCAATATCCCTGAACCCTAAACCCTAAACCCTGGGTAAGAACAGTCCTGGAGTATCTCACGGCAGTCGCTGTTGCGTTTTTCCCCTGCCGTCATGTGGGCAGCCAGGTGGCAGCTGACGAAGCACAGCCGGGCTGGCCCAAACTGCAGCGTCACCACAAGGCCTTGATTTGGGTTCGGGATAAAGGGGTTAGACACAGGATTTAGTAGGGCTTGCGGTTGAGGATTAGGGTAGATGAGTAGTATGAAAACCAGTATTGCTACTACAATGCTCTGTCAACATCTACCTTCCTGGTGTTGCTGCTTTCCCTGCTGAACTTTCTCATCATCTTGGCTTCTTACATGGTTCCGGGGGTCCTTTAGGTGCTTTTGGGATATATGGAGTTCAAGGTTTGGGGCTTCTCAACAAAGGAATGCTTTGGGACCCTGGAAATATACATGCGGATTTCTACGGGGCTCTGAGGTCCCTGTGGAAGCTTATGTAGGGGTTCTTTTGAGAAACAGCCAAATATCCGCACAAAGGAACATTGAAGACAAGGGCTCCGCAGTTCGGGGGAACGTCCCTGTGTTAGGAATCCCCATGTTTGGGGGCAGACGTTTTTGGATGCCTCTCAGCCTGCTGAGTCTCAAGAATGCGGACCAGTGGCACAACATACCATATGGCCAGTAGCTCTTAGAAAATCATAGGCGCCCTGCATACATTCCATGTCTCACAGGAACATCCTTACTTAAGAACAGCCCAGCAGCCACCCTTGTTGCCAACCGTGCCCGCCATCAGCCCTGTGGCAGAATATGTCTGCTCCACAGAATGGACCAGCGGGCCGCCGCACCACTTGAATGTACCGTCGCAATACCTCGATCTGCTTTAGAAAGCTCTAAAAACTCTTGTGTTCTTCAGTCTTGCAAGCTCATTGCGCTATTGTGCGCAATGAAGGCTCACCCTTAATGGTAAGCTCCATCTGGAAGGTCATGTTTTCTCTAAAGAAAAGCGCCACTACAAAAACGCAAGTGAGGTTTCCAATAGGGGCCCCAAAAAGCAACATGGACCCAATGTATAATCCCCATTCTTATAGAAGCCCCCACCAAGATCCCTTTTGGACATCTCCATGTCTTCCCTCCAATGGTCCAGGTGCTCTGTACGAGCAAAGAGCAGGAGGCGCATGCTCATCAGAACCTGGCTGTAGGCTTGCAGGGGCGGAGGAAGTAGCAGAAACAATCTGAAACCCCAGACCTCCACACGCTAAGGGTCATAAGGGCCGAATGAAAATGTATCCTCCTACGTTTATGTACCGGCCATTTTGCTGAAAATGTAAGCTGCATGCCCTCATTCCGCGCTCTCCTCCCTTCCCTTCCTCTCTCTTCTCACCTCCCCATTCCCGCCCAGCTTTGGCATGAAACCCCAAGACCTCAACCTATAGTCCCCCTTAAGTAGATAGAAAATGGCTTTGGGTATATTTTGCTGACACCCCGATATACCCCATCTTGTATCTACTTAAGGGGGACTACAAACCCTACGTCCCAAATCCTAGGCCGTAAGCCTCGACCCTAAACCCCATTCGACCCTTGTTCGTCAAACCAAGAGCAAGGAGCCACTTGCTGAATCCGTGTGAAGCCATCACCGAGCCGCTCCGCCAGGATATCCTGCATCAAGGTAATGGTAGACCCATGATTAATAAACCCCTTCCTTTTTAAGGGCCTGAATAGTAGGATCTCTATTATAATCCCTATTAAGGGGAGAGGATTTATTTATCAGGGGTCTGGGTTATACAAGATTTTATAAATGACTAGAAAACAGGGTTTGATAATAGGGTTAGATGGGGGCTATATAGGGATAATGGAAAAGAAAATGGGAACTACTACTTAAGGCGGATATTACCTTAATCATGGAGGATCTCCCTCTAGTCAAAACCACCATCCCCAACAATTAGTTTTCCGCTAATATGTAATGGTACTACATTGGGGATAGTTGTTACTACGTAGGGAGGTGCAGGGGCATGATCATCAGGAGAGAAGATTAGGTTCAGCATGGGTGGAAGGCCCTCGGGGTTAAGAGGCCAGGAGTTTCGGTCAAATCTTCCCATCATCCCCCACTTCCAGGGCAAGCAAGACCTTTATACCTCAAACCGCCCAGAAGTTTGTTCTAGGCAGGCTGCAAAGGAAACAGTGGGAACAACAAACAAGTAAAGGGCCACAACCCTAGACCCTAAACCCCTGATTAATCAACCCCTCCTTTTAAGGCCCTTAATATTAGGTATCCTATTATAACCCCTATTAAGGGGAAGGGGTTTATTTTTCACCGGTCTGGGTTAAGCCCTAAGCCTACTGCAGCCCAGCTTCATCCCAGTGGAAAGTGAAGGCTTCCTCCCGGACGTCTCTAACCTGACTGGTACTTGAGGGAGAGCCGGGCAGGGGACCCCTGAAACGGAGAATTACATGCACAAGGAAATTGAAAGCAACCATGGAAACTAGGGTTATGTTGCAATTTGTGAGGTTCACGACTGTTTCTTTTTTTGGGGGATGGGGAAAGGACACCACCAATTCTTCTACCATCACCGCTGCTAGTAGCTGGGTTCCCTGAACTGTTAGCACCAAACCCGCAACTCCAAACCCTAAACCTCATGGCGTCTATTTTCTCGTCCACTAGCCCTTGAGCACCAGAACCTTACCCCTCATGCCTACGCCTTACTTTTTAGGGGCCCATAAGTCTCCATTTCATTTTGTAGACTTTACAACCCTAAACCCCGTTAAGCATCAATAAGTGACCCGCCGTTCGGGGCTCTTGTCCGTGGAGCGTGGACTGCTTCCCAAAGTGTGCCAGGCCTCCTCTACTGCTCCTGACCTGGGTCTTTAATCGCGCTGCCTTTAGGGTTTAGGACTTAAGGCCGAGGGTGTAAGCCTTAGGGCTTAAAGATATGGGCTTAAGGTTTAAGGTTTGGAGTGTAGGGTTTAAGGATTTAAGGCTGAAAGTTTGGGGTCCTGGCCTGGGTCTTTCATTTCCATGGGTTCCCCTACCCAACTTATACTACCCCCTTAGATTCCCCCTTAAATAGCTTTAAGGAACCCTAATCATTTTTGTTGGCAAGCCGAGCCTTGGCGCATTTTTTTTTTTGGAGGGAGGGGAGGGGGGGGGGGGGTTGGTAGTAGGGGAGCCCAAGATATCCATCCCTCCTTGCCTACAACAACCACCCCATCAATATTCAAGCCTCCCAGCTATTATGTAGTCCCCCTCAAGTAGATAGAATATGAGGATATTATGGGGACCTTCTTGTAATATACCCAAAGCCATATTCTATCTACTTAACGGGACTATAGTATGCTAATATTCTGACGATGAGCAGCATTTTTTGTGTGTTGGGCGGAAGAGATTCTTGGGTTCACAATAAACTGGCATGTCCATTCTGCATGGCCTTTTAGTGTGCCGTGAGACCCTACATCCCTAAACCATGACCTCTAAATCCCTAAACCCTAAATGCAAAATCCCTAAACTCTAAACACTAAATCCTAAACCCACTTAAGAAGCAACATCACTTCCAAGAATGAACCAATGACAGCATCGGAAGCTGCACCTTGCCACTGCCTTTCAGCGACTTCCTTCGCTTCGGATTGCGGAAGGGGCTGCTCCCTGAGTCATAGCTACACTCCTGGACTCCAATGGCTATGATATCGAAGTCACCACCCTTATTGGGAAGCCAGTGCTGTAGCTCCTCCTCTGCAGGCTTGGCATCACCCATATTCCATGTGAAGCACAAAACCTTCACGGACTGCCAGGGTTGTACGCCCGGTTCATCTTCCTGTGCCACAATGACATCCACGTCCTCCGACACCACCTCCGTGGGCGTCGCACCCACATCCCCGAAGGAAGCTGCTACGGTCATGGGGGCCGCTCAGCTACCAGTAAGGGATATGCTGGCACTACTATACTGGCGTCCTTTCCACTTACAATTCTGCATGGATCACCTATGCTGCTGTATGGGCATGATGTTGAGCTTCAAGTAGCACATGCTGCTCAATCATGCGGTTCATGCCAACAAGAGCTGCTCCTGGCATATCCTGACATTGATGACTTCTTCCTCTGCCCCCCAATTTTCCTTCCAGCCAGCTGCGGGATTTTGCATGGCCAGCGTGTTGCATGCATGTAAGTCATGACGATAGGATCTTGGAGTAGACCATAACCCTAAATAGTACCTCCAACTGTCTCTTCCATTATCCAAATAGAATCCCCATATAATCTCAATATAACCCTTATGTATCCCCACAACCCCTTGAGGTTATGTATTTGTATATATGTGCACATACACACGTACGGAAGCAATACGCCGTTCTTCTGGCCTCTGTTCTACATCTGACTGTCTTTTGCCTTGCACATAGTGGGCTTCGATTGGTTGCCTGGTTTGATGGGAATGATAGCAACATGCTCCTTAACTTAGCGGTTCTTAGTAGGAAGTGATGGAATACAATTGTAACACAGTAGCTTCCATTTTCTTCCCCATTATTCTCTATATATAACCCTATATTCCCTTATTCCCTACTAAAACCTACTAAAACCAGTCAGTTAAGAGAGATGTCTGCAGTCCGCAGCTGTCCGACGGATCCCTGACAGTAGCTCGAATCTGAAACTCCAATCTTGAATGAGGTTTGAGGTTCAGGGAAAACGCCATACATCCCCACGATGGATACTGAAAATCGTGCATCAGCCCAAGTACACTATACCTTGGGAATTAGAGTAAGGCACTACAGTATACTCAGGTCATGCAAGATTTCGGTATCAACAATGGCAGCCCACAAGTGACCTACAGCTATCTTCATCTTGACATGTTCTTACGTGACAAATGTACAAGCGATCGCCTGGTTCAGAACACGTAGCCGAAGCGTGCATATCCAGCAGCACACTGGGTGCCTGGGGAACCAGTCGAAATGGAGGCTTGTCAAAATTCTGTTTCACATCTTGGCAAAATTGGAGGTTGCAAGAAGAGGTCTATGACTGTCGGCGTACAAAGGTAGACTCCAATCTTGATGAGCCTGCTCAGCTTCAAACATGGAGGCAGAATCACCTCAACGTGTCAAGGTGGCAGCGTACGCTACAATTATCTCTCGAACTGCCCTGGTGATGTTGTTACGAAAGCCCCTAAGAGGGACTAACTGGACCCTCCAATGTAACTACTTTTTGGGCTTTGCATGTTTTTGGGCTGAGCATTCTCATCAAGACCCACAAGGAGGTAGGCCATGGGTTTCTTTACACCCGCAAAGGTCCACTGCACGCGCCTGCATATGCCGATCCCGACATAGGAGGGCTCCTCCTGCAAGACGGAAGACCAGAATTGCAAAAATTCCCCGCAATAGTGTTCTTTTGTCCGCATATTCCTCGGGACTTTGTTCCCTGAACACCATTTTCACAATCCGCTCCCAGTTAATGACAAGCCCGCAACCAACTTTTTAGAGGCTGGGAGGCGTTTGGATTCGGGGGACGGGACTACTTGCGTTTGCTTTTCGAGTAGTTACCTCTGTTGCCTTGCCATCACATGTTGCTGTGGCGCGTGTCCGCGGCCCGTCTCTCAAACTCATGTGGATCAGCTTCCCGCAGAAACGCAACTCTCCCCCTCACTGTACTAAGTGTCTCTTTGTAATGCTCTTGTTGAATCGATGGTGGAGGGCTTCGAAGACAACATGAAACATTCACAATCTGAGGGCATTGTATACTAAGGAATAATTGTCTTTACGATGGTGCTTTTAATCTTGCGAGGGGATAACACGCCGAGGCGTAACCTGCGGTCTACATTTGGCAGCGGGCTATTCATGCGTCAAGATCGAGGCACAGAAACTACAAGCCACCATCAAGGCTACTTGCAGAAGCTGTGCTGGCCCTGAAATATCAATGTCGCAGTCCGAATATCTTCCGGCTTGCAGTTCTGAAGCTTCGGCGTTACAAGTCTCCCTCTATAAGGGTCCAAAAGGACCATCTTGTTGCTTGTCCCTTTTTCCCGAATGCCCACAAATTGCAACTATGCACGCATATGCGTGCATATCTAGAAATCTATCTATCTATCTATCTATATAAATATGGCCCTTGTCAGGTTTCATGGGACACACCCCATAAACCTTTAACACGCCCTGTTGTAAACCTTGCGAACTTTGCCCTCATCCTCAAAATTGACAAAAACAAGGAAACTGACTGGGCAACTCTGAACTGCTGCAACAACCAGACCTCCCCTTTATGAGGAAGTTGACCATGCAGCCCTAGATCTGCCTGCAGCAAAGGCTTTGCAGAAAGTCTGACACCCATGTGTACATGTCGGGCCCTAAAAACCATACGTCTCAACTCTGGAGCCTCAAGCCCAGAACCCAAAGCCTTGAAGCCTACAACCCCGATCCCTTTTGCTAACCTCAGTATCTACAGGGCCCTCCCTTGGTCGCGTGGGCCTCACAGCAAAGGAGGCAAGTCTGAATAGCACCTCGCCCCACGCGTTGACAACTTATCACTAGGGACTGTTGGGGGCTCTCATGGCCTGCCCAGGTCAATCTCTATGTTATCCCCAATAATGGAGAATCACATGGAGAAGAACATGGAAAATGAAATGGAAACTGGGATTATATAGGGGTTAGTTGAGTAAGGGATTTGGAACCCCAGTAGAAACTATAATTTCAGCAAAATATTTGGATTGTTGGTAACAGAAATTCATAATTGTTTTCAGGAACCTTGTAGCAATGTGTTCTTATTAGTTTGGAGATGGCACATGCGGGGGAAGGGGGGGCTGGTAGTCCTATGATAACAGGGGGACGTGAGTACCCAAATTGGGTGGCTTTTGAAACTAGAGGTATCCCTGCGCACCGGTAGATGGGGATTACAACAGGTCTATGAGGGTTGTGCGTGTGACGCATTCTATAGGAATGAGTTTGAGACACCCCCGTGCAAGATCACGCAGATGCGTAGCAGGTTTCTTGGGGGCATGTGCTGGGACCATGTAGGCATTTCTGCGGATGATGAAAGCAACATCTGGAAAACGCGTGCAGAAAGACTGAACAGGAGCTGTAGAAGCATGTTTTAGAGATTGTATGAGGTCTCTCAAGAGTATGGATCCCTTGTTGGTGGTTATGGCAGTTGTTTTGATGTTATGCAAGTTTGCCCATTCACAGGGATACACCTGCATGTTTTACACAGATTCTGTGAGGTATCTGGAAACTGTTGACGGAGGAAATCTGGCAGAACCTGAAGCCCCTAAACTGTTTTGATGCCTAGGACTTACGCGACTTAAGGTGGTGCAACCATCAACAGATTTTCCGGCATCGTTTAGGACGTCTGCATCCACATCAAGCATGCTATATGCCCTGCAAGATGCAGAAGAGGTTTCTTACTCTGACGCATGCCGACACAAGAATCGGAATGTGCTTTGATATTATGCGTTTTAAGGTGGTATAGTGATACAACGCTTTCCAAAAACTAGCTTGGCGATGGGGCCTCCAAATCCAGACGTACGCAGACTTAAACTTGGGATGATACTCAACTTGGCGATTTTGCATGAAGCGGGCTTGCAGGGGTCTGCTCGTTCCTGTTGCGCAGTGACAGTGCTTGAAAAAAAACTGATGCTTCAAGGCGGCCGAATTTAGACCATAGCCTTGTCAACGCTTCATTCCCTAGCACATGAGATTCCCCTTGCTTACCTCAGGCTTCTCTGTCTGCATACATCTAGTGCAATTTCCCATATAACATGGAGCCAGATCGTTGTGGAGACATTGGGCCCAATGGTGCTCACGGGAGCTCAGGGGCGCAGGCCTGGGTTTGATGTTGGTCCATGTTTGGGCATTTCTTGAAAACGCTCGGTACCTTTTGCACTATGACTTCCCTAGAAACGGTCCTACAAGCCTTTTCCCTGCGAAGACCCTCAAAAGGTGCAATCTCAAGAAGCACTCAGTCAGTGCTTGGTGCGAATGTCACTCAACAACCGAAGCCCTGGACCCAAACCACCAGACTCCCCACCCTAAGTCCATGACCTATCCCTAAACTCTAGACCCTAAATCCCTAAACCCTAAATCCTACACCCCCAAAATCCTCAAGTTCCCTGGATCCCTCAGCTCCCCAGGAGAAACCAGGCCCAGGCCTGGCGCGTCGCCAAGCTCTGGGAGTCTTGCCTCTGCAAAGGCGTTTTTCAAAAGGAGCTATGCGGGTTAGGGTTTAGGGTTCAGGGTTTAGGGTTTGAGGTTCAGGGTTAGGGGTAGAAAAAAATCGTTAAGTGCTAGTGGTATAGGGTAGTTCTAGTAGTAGAGCTGTTAACCGTAGTAGGCGATGCTAGTAGTTGCAGCTGTAACTGTGAGAATCAGAGTAAACATACTCGCAGCCGTAGTAATGTGAGAGTCAAGAAGGAAGACTCACAGTGAAGCAGTAAGGGTCATTGAAATAGTCGTAGTCATAGTACTACTGTGGCATTGCAGCCGGGTATTATATAGTAGTGTAACAGAAGTAGAAGTCAAACGTGCGTCAGCGTGATAAGGGTAACCCTTCGAACAAATGGTAACAAGTAACAATACTGGAATTTGGAGTAGCAATAGCAGTGGGAGGAGAAATACTGGTGCGACTACTCCCCCTACTACCACCACCACGCTGCTGCCACCGCCGCCACCCCACCCCCACCCACCCCACCTCCCCAGCACCAGAACCAGCAGCAGCAGCAGCAGCAGCAGCAGCGGCACCCACCACGACCACGACTATGAGAACAACACAAATCGTTGTTCCGGGCTTGCCAAAGAACTTTCCAAGCTTCGCTATGTAGGCAAGACTGTCACAGGCTGTTCTAAATGTGATGGGTTCCTGTTTGGCCTAGAAGGATGTTTTGTTGATTAGCCGGAGGCTGGGTGCTGACAAAACACCCACATGAGCGGGCAA